TTGAAAGAGGAAAAATATTTTAGTTATTTGTGGCAGGACTTTTTAAGAAATATTTGCACTCATTGCACCTCTTGATACTGCTATGCAGCACTATCACTATGTTTCTATCCCTATTTTAATGCTGTATGCTGGACTTAGGCCTGATCTTAAGGCATTACAGGTGAGATAGCACTGCCAATCAGAAATTGTTACTCCTAAGTACTACAATTTAATAAATTTAAAGACAGAAAACTAACTAATCCAAGGTTGAAAATGTCAGCCAAAAATGAAAGGTAAAGGAAGAAACATTAGAGTGATTATTTAAAAATTCAAAGTTGAATCTCCACAGAGATGATGAAAGTCAGAGGGACAGCATCATTTCACATGCTAAATAATGTTTTCAAGTAAAACATTTATCATGTAGGCATATATTGAGAAGATTCCAGCTCTCCACTGGCTAAGAAAGAAAGTTACTGAGTAGCAACCAGGTAGGATGCTTTGGAATACTAAAGTAATTGTGAAAATGATCACAAGTAGAGCAGGTCACCAGCATATTTTTTTCATAGTTTAGCCCTTGCTAAACTTCATTTTCTCCAACTCTGTATGCCAACTAACTGGGGGATGCGGTGGGTTGAATATATTAACTATCTAAGGATTAACTCATTTTTCTCAGTTACTTGGGTAATTTTGACCCTTTTTTACTTTTTTTTTTTTAAAAAACAAGTACATTAAAATGAGTTGAAAAGAGACAAAAGTCTTCTCATAATATTCAGGTGAGAGTCCTTTTATGGAGCTTGCTCACTGTATAACTTCATGTATTTTCATATTCTAGGACTACAGTGGAAAAAAAGCTCAAGACCCTAATATCCTACATTTCTGACAATCAGTAATATGACCCTGAGAATATGATTGAAAGTTCACAGAAATCAATAACAGCTTTTCTCCATTTGTCTTGATGCTCTTCAGTTATTTATCTACTACAAGTAAATCAAAGACAAACTTTGCAATTTTTATTTAGAAAAGTTCTGCCTGTACTATTTTGCTATTTTCAATCCACCTATCACCATGTTCATCAAAACTGAAGCTGCAGAATCTTATCTGCAGCTGATTATTTTATTTTGAAAAAACAGCTGACTGCTCCAAAAAGTCTTGCAGAGGTACATGGAGACTGTCAACTCTTCAAACAGAACCAAGACAAGATTAAACCAAGACATTTTAAATATCATTATTATAAATGTGAACTAAATTCAGTTGCTAATTGGATTAGAGTTTCACTGACTACATTTAAACTACAAACTTGACTATGCAGTTAACCTAGATATGAGGTTACCTAAAGTAAACCCTTAAATTACTGTGCTTCTAATGGTATATGCAGAAGTCTCTGCACAACACTCAGTAATAAAAAACTTTCTCTTATGGAAAATAGCTGCTGAAAAATGACATCCACTGATACTGTAGCCTGCTATACCTCTTATTAGAAACCCCCTATTCTCCCCCACATTCATAACCCTGTAGTGTCCTGTGGAGAATCTCCAGTGCATCTAAGAAAGGGTAAAAGCTTTGGGTTAATAATTCATTATGAATAGTCTAAATTTTCATGCAGTGTGTATCCAGGTGATACTATGCTCAATACAAATTCAAAATGTCAGCTTTAAAAAAAAAAAAAAAGAAAAGAAAAGAAAAAAAAGTCTTTCTGCCCTTGTTTTAAGTGTGAACCCTGAAATAATTTATTCATGGTACCATAATAAACTGTCAGCTATCTTGACAACTAAAAATTAAGTGTATTGTACTCCTTGGAAATTCCCAGAAATATATTTTTTTGGTTACAAAAAGAATAGAGAGAAAAGACAACACATTGAAACCCACAGCCAGACTCCACATGCACTGAAACTTCACTCAGATGCCACTGCTTAGGATCTGTAGAGCCCTTAAGTCATAACAACCTATCAGAAAAAAATCACCTGAAGTGATCTCAGCATATCTAAAAATGTTCAACTGTCGCTTTGAAGCAGTAATTCAAGTATTTAAACTCAGGCAAAAAAAGTCTTGATGGAAAATACAAGGGGAAAAAGCATGTTAGTGGAAGAGAAACTGCCTTAATTGGATAGTTAAGAGTATTTGATAGGATTATAAAAAGGCAAAACTGTCAGAATGCAATTCTTCTACTGGCCACTGGCCAAAGCAGTGCAGATTTTAGAGGGAAGAATAAACGACCAAAATTATACAGTGTCTCCCACACAACATAATTTCAAAACAATTCTCAGTGTTTCACTTTTATTTGAGTGAGAACAAATTTTCACTCAGTTTATAGTTTCCCACTGAATTTCTTCATAATTTAATTCTTTGTCTATAAAAGGGAATATGCCCCAATGAAAAGCCACTGATAGCAGCTGCACCAACGTATATTTCTACTGTAGAAAAGCAAGTATTCTAATTGCATCAAAATTTATTCTTTTTTGAATTATTTCACTCTCACAAAGTACCTGTACCAGAAGCTGTATCAATTCAGGTACACCAATGACTCAGCTGCAGCTGGAGCAAATGTCCACCCCAGAAAAGCTCTGGAATGATTAGAGGTAACAGGTCAGCAGCAGCTCCCTGCTGTGAGACTTTAATTCATCTTCAGCTTCCAAAGTGCTTCTCTTCTCCACATGAGCCACAACCTTCTCTCTCCCCAAACTTTAACCCTCGATTTTTAAAGGCTAACCATTCTTCTGACCTAAAAACCCTGCTATAAGTAAGGAGAAACTCACCAGGAAAGGAAGATAGAATGAAGATCCCAACACTGTTGAGCACTGTTGGGCTTATTTTCAAAAAGAAAAAAACTTGCATTACTTGATGTGAACCTTGAAGAGCTGTCAGAATTACTACCCATCCAGTGGAATGAGATTTCTACTTAATAAAATGGAGAGTTTCATGATAGACCATCATACCTGCTGCCTCTGACAAGAAAGGAAGCTTTTCTTTTTCCCATGCTGGTAGCAAACATTTCTAAGTATCCTGTCATTACAACTTCTATATGAAATGGCACAAAGGGGCACACAAGGAAATTTAGTTGTATATTCAGAGCTCAGAGATACATTTCACTTGATCTTAGCCTTTAAGTGGCTAGTGATAGATTGCTAATTTGTTGCTTTTTGTTCTATATATATTATATATAAAGATATTATATATATATACAGTGTATATTATATATTGCATACACGTTATATAATATCATATTAATACATTGTATAATATATTGTATATTTAAAATGTATTTATATTATACATGTATGTATGCATTAAGTCTGTCTCTTCTGCACAGTAGACATTACATGTCATGGAGTTTGCTCATTGTTGTCTCCACTTTTTTCATTTGACCAAATGAAAAAACATTTGAATTAAGAAAAAGGCTTTGAAATAAGCTTTTTACAGTACATACCATTTTTTACCATCCATTCTGAGAAAGAATAGGAAAGATGGAAGTCCAGCAATGCAAATGTAGGACTAACACCTTCAGAGCAGGGTTTCTCTTTCCATTACCTTCCCTCCTACTACAGATATGACTTTATCAATCAACTTGGCAAAGACACACATACAGCAGAGAAGTAGCAATAATGTTAGAATCATTTCTGTGAGATCCACAGGGACAATTTCAAGCAGATGAAATCACAAAATCATAGTATTTTAATTTAGAAAAGACCTCTAAGACCAGTGAGTCAAACCATTAATCCAGCACTGCCAAGTCAGTAACTAAACTGTGTCCCCAAGTGTCTTTTAGATACCCCTGGGGATGGACTCCACCACTTTACTGGGCAGCCTGTTCCAATGCCTGATAACCATTTTGGTGAAGAAATCTTTCCTAATATCCAGCCTAAACCTCTCCTTGCATAACTTGAGGCTGATTCCTCTTGCCTCATCACCTGTCAATTGAGAGAAGAGGCCAACCCCTACCTGGCTCCACCCACCTGTAAGGGAGTTGCGGGAAGTGAGAAAATTCCCCCCTGAGCCTCCTCTTCTCTAGGCTGAGCCCCCTGGCTCCCTCAGCCACTCCTCATATGACTGACCCTTCAGACCCTTCTCCAGCTTTTCTGCCTTTCTGTGGACATGCTCCATCACCTCAATATCCTTCCTTTAGTGAGGGACTCAAAAGTGAACACAGGATTTGAAGTGTGGCCTCACCAGGGGCCAATACAGGGGGATAATCACTTCTCTTGTCCTGCTGAGAACACTATAACTGATACAGATCAGGTACCCTTGGCCTTCTTGGTCACATGGGCACACTTGTCTCATGTTCAGTTGTTGTCAACCACACCTCCAGGTCCTTTCCTGCCAGGCACTTTCCAGCCATTCTGCCCCAGCCTGGATCCCTGGGTGGGGTTGCTGTGGCCCAAGTGCAAGACCCAGCATTTGGCCTTACAGAACCTCAGACCACTGGCCTTGGCCCTTTGATCCAGCCCATCCAACTGCAAAGCCTTCCTACCCTCCAGCAGATCAACACTGCTGCCCAACTTAGTGTCACCTGCAAGGGGACTTGTCCAGATCATCGATACAGATATTAAACAGGACTGGTCCCAACACTGCAGTCAGATTTTCACCTAGCAAACAGGGCACCTATCCAAGCCATGAGCAGCCAGTTTCTCCAGGACAAAGCTGTGGGAAATTGTGTCAAATGCTTTGCTTAAGTCCAGGTAATCCATAGCCTTACCTTCATCCACTAAATGGGTCACCTTGTCACAGAAGGAGATCAAGTTACTCAAGAAGGAACTGCCTTTCATAAACCCAGGGTGACTGGAACAATCCCCTGCTGTCCTGCACAGGCCAGGTGATGGCCCTCAGGATGATCTGCTCATGGCAGTCAGAAGAAATATCAGTTTTGGGAAGAGTCCCAGGATTTTATCCTATATTGTTTTATCATAACTGCACATTAAATATTAATTTAATATTAAAATTAAAAAGAGAAAAAGGCCTCTTTGCCTTATCTTGAGGATGGCTGCAAATTGGGGACTGTAACATTTTGCAGTATATACACCTCTTACCTGTACCCCTTCCAGGGGCATGCTAACACGTTTAACTGACATGTAGTATCCTCCGATTTTCTATCCCTCAATGTAGATTTCAGCTTCCAGACTGAAATTTCCAAACACAACAGTTCTGATAACAACATCAAATATTCCAGATTCTGGGGGGAATAGCTGCTTCACAAAAAGAGAGCCTTCTTAACAAATGATCAACATGCAAAATGACAGTTTATTATCACTAGCAGAACAACACAATTTTGCTGCAACTGGAAGTTACCATTCTTTAATGCTTTAACCCTGTGAGGAGGATTAGTAATCTTAGATTTTGGTGTCTATTGCAAATATTTGACATGGTGTGTTACAGTATGAATAACAGCTTACTGCAATACATTTTATTGCTTCACCAAGAAGGAGCACACCCTTCAGCTCTCACACAGCTTTTGTGTTCTCAAATACAACAGCCCAGCTATTAAAAAATTAATAGCCTTTTTTTAATGTCACATGTGTGACATTTGAAAAAAAATCTCACTTCCTTTCTTCTTTCCTTCTTCTGTGTCACTAGAATAATTTCTTCCTCCTCAACTCCCATTTAAACACATTCTACTCAACACAGCTGCACTGTATGAAACTAGAATAAATGATGGTGTCTTCAATTCTTACTATTACATGTTCATTATCTAAAACAATTAAAACTTAAGGGAAATTACAAAGTTTATCCGTGAAAGTCATGCTGCAGGAAGATTTTCAAAATTACTTTTTGAAGATTGTAAGTCTAATTACTTTGACAATCCATCACTGCCTATTGTGTGTCATGAGATAAAACTGTTACTGTTGGACTCATAATATTCTGCACATCTCTTACCTGTAACAAGCCAGCAGGAGTTGAGCTTATCCAGTGAGTGCTCTTTTATTGTGAGCAAGCTCAGCCAAAAGACAATTTATATCAAACAAACTGGAAAAAATTCAAATACCAGCACATATTACTGACACTAGCAGTCTCTTCAGTTGTCAAACATTTAAATTAAGGAGCAGGACTGAAACCACCATCAAACTAACCCTTGGTGCTATGAAGACCAAATAAAGTGATCATGGGCATTCCTGCCATGCAAATGATGCAATTACACACATATTTTCTATATAAGCTTTCATGAGAAGAGTGTATAAATGGTTTGAGCTTCTTCATCTGTGTGGTTTAACTTCCTTTTTTCATTCAAAAATATTAAATCCAGACTGAAAAACCTATTTTAGAATCCTACCAAACATTAGCACTCTTCCAAAATAGCATTAAATTACTTTTATATCTATTCAAGTTTTTCTGCCCTTTAACTTGCACATGTTCCATATATACTGAAAAATATTTTTATGTGATTATTGCTATGATAAACACAGGTCTCAATATCAAAATATAAAGTCTGAGATGGGGGAGAGATTCTGTGTTCTGGTCTTACCATGAGCCTGAATCTTTCTACCTGAATAATTCTAAACCAAATTTATGAAATCAGCATATACCTCACACCCCACCCAAAAATATTTGATGAGTCACCACCTTCTCCACGTAGACAAAAAGAGGAAGTACTCACAGCACACAATTAAAAAGTATATTTTTTTCTTGCTTGAAGAACATGGAGACTAGTAAACTTGCTATAAATTTGTTCTTCACCTACAAACTGAAAGTCAACTCAAACATTCAATGCAAATTAAAGAGCAGTGTTTTTGAAAGAAAGAAAAAAGTTTAAAATCTTTCACTTACAATTAAAAAAATTATTAATAACGTATACATTATAAGTCAAGGCCACAGCTACAGAAACAATTTATTTACATGCTGCTAGTTGTTTAATCATCTTTAAATTGTCTTTGAAAATTTAATTTTAAATGCTTTCCTGATCTCAGTTACTTTGCAAGTAAATATTATGCATATGAATAGCTTGCTTGCTTTGTTTCCACATTTCATAAAGTTTCTATGCATTTAGACATTCCAGGATTTATCTTTATTGGTTGAAAATCTATGTGAAGGACCAAAAATTCTATGAATTACAAAAATCAACTAATAGACCAAACAAAAAATGTTTGCACTCTTTAAAAAACATAATCAGAGGCTAAAGAACTAAGCTCAGACAATAAGTAAATTAGATTTATGTCTTGCATGTAAAGATCACTGATATGAAATGCTCACTTGTCTCAATTTATTTTAAGCAGAAGTGAGGGCAGTGGCACTTATGAAGAGTCTAAAAATAATAAATTACATCTTATTGCACAAAGTCAAAGGTTAAACTTATTATTGCTCACAATAGGCCAACCTTAACCCCAGGATTAATGCCATAAACAAAACAAAAATTCCATTTGCACACAATGCACGAGGTTAATGTCTCTGAAGAATTACAAAAGGGAAATGATGCCCCCTACTGCTCCCAGAAAATGTTTCTGTATAAACATAATATTTTGGTTCAAAGGGAATTATCATGTAAAACCAATGAACATGTATTTTCAACCTAACTAGTACTCATTAGCATGACATATGCCAAGGACAATTTATTTCTTCTTTGGACTTTAATTAAAATGTATGAAGGGCCTTTCCCTTGTAGAGGAAACTCTCAGGAACACAAACAACTAGAGAGGATATAGAATCTAAGTTTCTCAGGAGTTACACATTCTAGTGAAGAAAATGTGAAGATTCGATTCAATTTTTTTTGTCTTCATGTATTTCTGATTACATCAAACTTGGAATGTAGCAGTGACATTTTTATGTAGCAGTGACATTTTTCAAACAGCAATGTTAAAATGATGGTGTTTGATATCTGGTAACAATTTGACACAATTCATTAAAAGGCAACTAAGTCCATGTCCTGGAGTTGTGGAAGACCACAGCTCAATCCCTAAAGCAGTTTTATGGTTCTGGAATCACAGACACTGTTGTAATGGATTTCTTGATGGGCAGGTAAAGTGACAAGGTTATTGTTTGAAACACTTTTCAGGGAAAGAGAGCTCAAATACTGAAGAGCTTCTACTGGTGTCTTATTTGTTCTGCTTTTAAGCCACAGTAGACCCAATGACATCAATAATGTTAAGTGTTGATTTCCACCAGTGTAATTGAAAAATAACCCCCAAATTCTTAAAGATATTGGACACACTGAACTTCTCTACTTCAACGTAAACTACATAAATATTATTTGGTATATTGTTGCCTTTGATCTGACCTTCAGCACCCTTTTGAGTATTCTTAAACATATCTAATCTTAAAATTGCTATCACTCACCTTTGTCCAAGGTTTGCAGAGTGAAATGGCTGCAGTTCACAAGTCCTTATGCCACAAAAATAACCGAAAGTAAATCAGTAAGCAAAGTTAATGAGCTGATATGAACAGGCATGCTTTTTTATTACCAAGTCCTTTTTTATCACAAATCTTAATATGTGTAAGGTTATTTAGACAATACTACTGTGACCTTGCATTGGTCATTTTCAGCTCAAAGCACAATGAAACACTAATACAAGAGGAACACTTTTACCTGATTCTTATGAGGATGCCTGTGCAGTAGAATGTGAGAAATGAAAAAATTTTCTCATTCATTGTCAGAGTGTACAAAATTGAAATGGCAGCACCTGTATATCAGGGAACATTTGTTTAGAACCATTTCTGCTCATTTATGGTAACTTTACAACATATCAATAAGACGAAAAAATGTTCATAATGGTTTACTGTTTCAAAATGAACTGGACCCAAGACAGGGTCAGTGGTGAGGTTTAGCAAAATATATTCAAACTTGTAAGACTGTATGTCATAAACATATATATTACGTTTTCCTAAGAGTATATCTTCAAATAAGTTCAGAAATCAGGTTCCAACCCAGATTTTTCTTTTTACTGTTGATGGTTTCTAGAAGGAAGTTTGGTCCTCACAGTACTGCCTGAGTAGCACTGGCTCAGGTTTGCAGCATGGCTGTTCTCCTCTAATCCTCACCTAATATAAACCTCCATGGATTAACTGGATTTAGAAGTAGATTTAAACAAATGTATAATGTTCTAGGGTCAAAGGAGATGAATTTAAACCAGTCAAGAGTAGGCATTGTTCAGGGAGGAAATTCAAATAATTGCATCTTATTTCCAAGGTAAACTTGCATTTAACTGTGCTAAAATACAGCTCAAATGCCATTTGGGATAGTCCTGACTTATACATATTTCTACATGCATGATGGAGTGTGTTGTTTAAGGATTTAATAGTCTGGAGAAGGCTGCAGATTGACAGAAGAGCGGTATGAAAAAGTAGATAACATGACTGACAGAGGTTTGAAAAATTTTATCAGTCATATAAAGCAAATTTCCTCCAACTTATTTTTCCTAGATATTGATGTAGGACTCTCCAATAAAATACTATTAGTTGTAGTGGAATAAGCTAAACTGGGATGGCATCATCCTGAAACATTTTGTTTTTCCACCATGGTGAAACCAAGCACATAAATGAAGGCATCCCATTTCTCTAAATATGTTTTCTAAATGTGAGAGGGTTGAAGCAATTTCCAGAGGTCTCTGTCTAGAAAAGGCCCTCCATTGATATTTAGCTGAACTGCTTTTGCTCTGAGACATGCAATAAAATACACTGGAATCAAATGTGTAAAGCATCATTGTGCTTTATGTAAAGAAAATCAGCCTAATTTGCTTTTTTCACCACTATTACACAAGCCTACCATGCCCAGTTCTTATTACTGAAACTTTACTGAAATGGTTGGAAATATTCAGATTTACATCAGCTGATTAATAATTCCACTGGTTTTAGTAGAATTATATTAAACCTTACTGTCACAGAAAGCGTGTGAGTCCAATTTTTAACTGCAGTGTTTTCATATACCCCTCAAGAGAGGCTCAGTAACAGTGTAAATATATCAGAAATATCTTCACACGCTTTGACTGCGTACAAATCACTGTATGTACAGAAAGTCTGGCCCAGCCCCATACACAAAAGTTAAAAAAACTTGGTGTATTTAGAGGGAACTCTTATCTGTAATTGAAGAAAAGATATTGTTCTAGATAATAAAATACAAACCAAGTATTACCGTATGTAATGTTTCAGACATTAAAATAATACTGAAACTTAGGACCAGGTTCTGGAAAACCTTACTGAAGTAAATCAGCATTTAGTCTGCTCAGCAGCCAAACTGAAGTCAACAGGACCATACATTCAGATGAATACTCATTTATCTTGGTCTTAACCTTGTAACAGTTAGATTTTGTGCAAGTTATCTGCAAACTGGCATAATTCAGACATAGAAGTTTATATACCTATTTTCATCTTGCTTTGCACAAATATAAAGAGAAAAAACAAAACCAGATCACCCACAGTAAGGTTTACTACAGGGTGCATCTTTTTAAAGCGTTAAAAAGCATTGTAAGCACATCTTCACAGCTCATTGCACCCGTTGTACCTTTCAATTACTGCTGCAACTTCCCACCCACTCTGGAACTCAACTGAACCTCTCAGAACAGACAGAAATCAGCTGTAAGGTCCTATTCTGTTAGCAATCAGCTACATAAAGGGTACAGCACATGCAAAGACATGATCAGCAATTAACCATACCTAGTGCTTTACAGAAAACAAACAAAAAAAAAGAAAATTAAATTCCAGTAGTCAGAGTAGTAGCAAAATATTTATGAAAATTTAAAAAAACAAACAGTTGCAAGAGTCATAAAGACTGTAAGATGCTCAAGAGTCTCATTTTTGATAACCTATAAAAATTATTTGAAAGAACTTCATGAAATCCCTAGATTTTAGCAAGATTAGCAAGAGTACTGTTTTAATTTTTGTAGTTGCAGAAACTTTGACGAGGTACCCTATTTTAAACTAACTTAGAGTGGCACTTGAGCATGTCTCACTTTTTGCAGCATTTCTGCATTGCTCAGGGCCAGCTGTATGGTGCTGACGCCCCTTCAGACACCACTTGTCATTTCTGCAAGCAATTCAGTAGTGTTCAATCCCCTCTCACAATAAAGATTGTACTCCTAGGTTATCATTTGTTTTGTCAGTCATCTAAGTGAAGCTGCAATGTTTAAATACACAGCAGTCACAGAGTGAGGAACCTTTAAAATTACTGGTAATAATATAGCTAAATATTTACATTAGAAAAAAGCCCCATAAAACTGTCTCCTGGAACATTTCCCAGGCTAAACAACAGTCTTTGCCAATACACCTGCAGCTTTTTGTAACTAATTAAGAAACTTGAGCCAACACACTCAAAAAGCCTCAAAAAAAAAAATGCAGAGTTCATTACATAAAAAAATACTACCCACTCTCAACAATTGATGCATGTATAATTGCAGCATTTTTGTCTTTTCTTCCTTTTATAAAGACTCAATTATTTACAACAGGTTATTTTGAATGGAAATTTGAATTAAGAGAAACAATTAATTCTAAAATTAAGGGATAAATAAGTTTTGGTTATAGAAACTACTAATTACAGAACCTATACCTTGGATCATGTTCAAAATGTTTGCCTCTTGATGCTAAACTTGATTATCTATAGGTTCATTAAGGTATCAGCATTGCAACAAATTCTCCAAAAGGGAAACTTTCTTAATCACCTTCTTAGTCACCAGGGCTTCAAGCACACGTAAATGTCTGTCACACCATAACTGGGGGCTTGAACAAGATGTGGAAGTTTGTCTCTGTAAAGAATTTTAAATAATTCCATTTCAAACCATTTTTGGCTTCTTTCTCTGTAGTCCTGCAAACAACAAAAACAACAGCAAAAAAATTTAATTAAAAGTATACCGAAATTTCCTAATGAGAATTTAGGGTTGCCTTAAGTTTTAGGACTATATTACACACAAGACTTGAGGCCTCAGATTATTTCTATATATTTCCTTCTGAAATATATAGAATTTATCTGAGGTATCACCCTTAGAATATGCTATTATATTCTAAGACATAACTATATATATACATATACACATAACTATTTGTGTTATGACTGAAAATTAAAATTTTTGTTATTCATATTCATGCAGAATACATCCTATACCCTAATATTTTAAGTCCACAGCCTACAAACCATCAAACAAATATTTAAATTTATGCATGAAAATAGCCCCACTAAAGACCATAATACTGAGGATCAGAGCACCATCTGTAAAGTGCATTCATAGACTCCATAGATCAAATTCCCAGCACAGGTTTGAAAGACAGTTTGGAATTTTGGCTTCCTTGCTGTTTCAACCAGTACAGCTACTATTTCAAGTATGCAGCCAAAGCCCAAACTACTCAGGAAGGTCCAATTTCACAAAATTGTTCACACAATTAATTTTCAATTGCAGAAATTCTTATAAAGAGCAAGAAGGAGCACCAAGCGGCTGAAGCAAGCGATTGCGAAACATGAAAAAAACTCTCACACCTATTTACACATTACCATTACAGTATTTCCCCAGCAGTAATGCAAATAATGACTTGGCATCAACTCACATTCAGGAAAATCTCTAATATATCCCACAGGTGTGCCAAGCAGAAAAGCAAGACCAGGCACTGGGTGTGTCAAATTGCTTTGACTGCTACCAGCAAAACATTGCACTTTTCCATCTCTAAAATAAACTTACAAGATACAACCAAAGATCCAGGAAAGTGAAATTTCCCCTCCAACTAATCAGAGCCTGTCACTTTGGATATTTTACTGCAAAACAAATTCCTCCCATAGGAGGAAAACAAAATCCTTTTTCCCCAACAAGTCCACTTTGTAATCAGCCTATTGTAAGATGTCAGAGAATTTCCAGTGTTCTCAGCTCACATTTGGGGTCTGTACACCAGCACTTGTGCTTATGGCAAGAGGCTTGAAATTTCTCCTAAGTGTGAGAAAGATTAAGTTGAGGCTGAAGTTACAAAACAAAAAAAAGGTAATGATATTTTTGCTAGTTCGCTTCACAACAATGCAGGGAGAAAGTTCCAACTTGTTTAAATAATAGTCCCATGTATATAATCATTAGTAAACCTTTTCAATAGCATCTTTTTTCCACTTCAAAAGGGCTTTAGTTTGTCTTGAATGTTATAATGTCAGGTACTACCTAATCTCAGCAGGCTGGGTCACAAAACCACAACTGCTCACACTCACAGTGATTTCCCTGAGAGCAGCCTCACACCATTATAATGCATTTGAATTCAGGTTTATCAAGAATATATCTATAATTATACACATACGATAAATTCAGCAGTGAAACCATGTTTTATAACATGCAGCATGGCAAAACAGGCAAGAAAATGTCCAAGCCCCAACCATTACCCACATCATTTAGAAGTCAGTAAGCCTTCTTTGATATGAGATATTCAAAAACGCTGTGGTAGAATTCAATTTTCTTTCAGCTTCTGGATGATATTTTGTGTCCCAAAATGCTGGTAATTTCATTTTTATTATAAAGTTCTATACTTTAAGAACTCTAAAGTTCATAGAAACAATGTCGTTTCTAAGTAATAATAACTTAATACAAAATTGGCTGTAGTGACTGCATTTTAACAGTGGATGGCAGCAATCACCTCAGAAATTGCCTCCCTGAATGTTAGATTACATCCTTATGTGTGAACCTTGTAGCATAATTCAACCAAAATACAAATGTCTGAACAACAAAAACAGGGGGAAAAAATTGTCTTCAGTAAACTATTTCAGGGAAGCATCTTTCTTAAATATCATACTCCCTGTCAAAACCCTGTCCTGTGCAGAATGAGTGTTTGTGTGTACACAGATGTATTTTTTTTTTCCATTTTACCACTGTTTCAGACAATTTTATTTGGCTCAAAGAATGACTTCAATTTCAGATTGGAAAGTATATATAGCAATACTTGGATGTAAGCTTTTAGGGAGATTTTCCTATTGGCTAAGAACTGGAAACTGTCATTTGCTTAAAAAGTTTTAATAGAGATACAAGTGGCTATATAAAAATGATATTTTATATTTCTGTATTAAGCCTTTCCTGGTTTAACATACAAGTAGATTAAAACAAAATATGTACATTTAAATGCATAACAATAAAATATTTGTCCTCCCTTCGGAGGCTGTATTTAATGAACAGCTGCTAAAATCTAACTTCACAGTGATGCTGAAGAGATGGCCAAAACAAACTGGAATCAAATAGTTCCAAGGGGAACTTGGAAGACGCTAACCTGTATCTGGGATGGTATGAAAGGAGACATACACTCCTCTGTACAACAGCTGGTCCGTATTGTCAGCTCCAGGCACACAAAAGTCAACAGCAGTCCCTGAGATAATTTGTAAGACCTAATCTTATCCTTCTTGTCTCTTTAACAGTTTGGGGAGGGGGGGG